GGGGGGGGGGGGGGGGGGGTAAAGGAGGAAAACCACTTCCTTCCCTCATATCTCTTGGCTCAGTGCTTAGGGTATGCACCTGAGATGTGGATTGAGGTCCCCCATTGTGAAGATGTGCCTCCTCATTGGTTGAGTGCTCTGACCATTTGCTGTGAGATATTCTGAGGTGGGGCTCCCTTCATCTCTCCCGTATGTGCTGTTGCAATCCAGATTAAATAACTGAAGACACATTTGGGCCAGAGAGGGAGAGCAGATAGAGGAGTGACTCAGTAGCTTGGTAGTTAGCTCTCTCACACAGGATGTGGGGATCCAGTGCCTCTACAACAGTGACTCTTTATTTAACCACAGTGGAACAGCTCCACATGGAGATCTACCGAGGATGTAGCACCTCAGCATAGCCCAGTGGTTAGACCACTCGTCTAACAAGTAGTAGACCCTAATCCCTTCATGTGGCTGGCAGCCTCTGACTGATGCTCTCCCACATCTCAGATGAGTATCCTGACTAGGGCTAAAAGTTACCAGGAAGAGTTTGCTTTTCTCGCCTTCTCCCTACCCCCATGTGTATTGAACTTGCCTAAGGGGCCCAATCTGGTAGGTGCACTCAGAGTCACCTTCATGTGTCTCAGTTGACTGAACACCTATCTTTCCCTGGAGCTAAGGTGGAAGATAGGCATCCAGATGCCTAAAGGAAAGCAGCAATGTGCTTGCTGAGAGACAGAAATGTAGGCTTCCGAGGACCTACTACTGTAAAAACTTTGCTTTTGCCCATCACAATGGAACTTAAAACTCAGACTTGGGCACCCAACTCCTTTTGTGCCTCTAGACCAGTAGGACTAAATGAGTCAAACTTTGTATCCTGTTGCATTTCATTTTAGTCATATGTTATTTTCATTTCTAGGTCTACAATCGACTGGACAGAAACTGCTGTGGGTTCAAACCTCGCAAGGAGGATTCCTGTGTTCAGAAAGGACTGAAACTGAAATGTGAGGATCAAGACTCTGTTGACCTGACGCACATTATTCAGAGAAGACATGACCGTAGGCACTTGGTCTTTATAGATAATAAAGGTTTCTTTGACAGAAGCGAAGACAATCTGGATTTCAAAATATTACAAGGAATCAAAGAGTAAGTTTTAGAACATCCCTACAAATTTGCATGGGGTTCAGTAGATTTTTTCCTATCCACTCCTGAATGAAAAGGCTGTGCAGGAAGTCTGCGGGGATTAGGAGTTGGTGAATGGGATGAGGAATCTTTCTTGTTTTTCCCCAGGCACAATAAAGACGTGTCCCAGTGTCTGTCCTATGTCTCCTCCATAGGAAAATTTGACTAAACTAAGTTATAGAGATACACATGTTTATGTGTAGGCAGGTATTATTTCTTGGACAGTCGCACACAGTTTTACAGCTAAGTGCTTTACAGAAAAGATGAGGCAAGATCTTTTCCTCAAAGGCATGATTGACAAAAGGGAGGTGAAGCGGAAGGGAACATGGAGCGGTGTGTGTGTGCAAGATCAATAAACCTATCTAGACTAGGAAAATCTGCACCACTCTAACTTCACTGGTGTCATTACATGGTAGAAACTTCTAATGTAGACATTCTGCAAATGGGTAAGTCACCACAGTAAACCCTCAGTGCAGAAACACCACATGCTGTCAGTTATTGATAGCGCAAGCCCCATTTATGTAGATTGTCCTGCACACATCTGTATTTCACACTGCTTTAAAAGAAAAACAAAACAAAAAGAGATCTTTATAAATATAGGTCCTAAAATGCAACTTTTCTCTCAAGCTTCTCAAGGAAAGAATTGCAGAACTCTACAGACTTTAAAAAAAATGCAGCTAGAAAGCCGCTTTTTTTTTTTTAAGCCTAGAGAATTTAGGATATTTTTGAGTAATGTGGACTTGAATCATTGGTACATTTAAGTCACTATTGTGGGTAAAAATTGCTTTAACTGGACATTGGAGGGTTCCCTTTCAGTTCTGAATAGGGGGTCTCATTTGATGATGTAGAGTTTCCAAAGCAGCTCTCACATCCCCCCTTTCCTGGCCATCAGAATATATTGGGCATGGCCAGGTTAGCCCTGTGCCTGGTTGATCCCTAGCAGGCCAGATAACCCCAGAATCAGAGTACATACATTCATAAACATCCCATCGGGGACTGCTCAGCTAGTTGGCCAGACTGGAGAGCAAGTGCCATCATAGGTGCTGATTCCATGGTGTCCTGAAACTGGAGCACCCATTAGGAAAATTAGTAGATGTTCAACACTTACGGGCAGCTAAGCAATCCCTGTTTGCCTCTCTTTCCCCCTGTGCTTCTTGTCTGCAGATATCCCCATTGACCAACTCCTTCCCTGACCTCCCAGTGCTCTGGAGCCCCACAAACAGCTGATTCATGGTGCCCAGCAAGTTCTGGGAGTGCAGGGGAGGAGCAGAAGTGGGACACACTGTGGGGAGGAGAAGGAAGTGGGTAGGGACTTGAGGAAATGAGAGGAATGGAGGCAGAGTGGGGGGGGAGGGCGGATTTTGGAAGAGGTTGGAATGTAGTGGGGCAGGGACAGAGTTGGAATGGGAAGAGGCAGGCAGAGCAGGATCTAGGGGGAAGTGCTAGAGTGGGGGCAGGGCCTGGGCAGAGTGGGGGTTCAAGGACCCCAGCTAGAGGAGAAGTCAGAGCCTATGAGAGCCACTATCATAACTATGACCCTATCTCATCAAACTACTGCAGTGTCTAATTTAAATAGATGAGGTAGATATGAATGGGACTGTGTACATATATATAGGCAGGCACTGAAATACGTTGATGGCTACATAGCATTTGTTATTAAAACACAACATAAATATTGTAAAAAAGCTTAAAAGGGGTCGCCGAGTTAGTTTGTAACAGGAAAAACTTAAAAAATAACCAATAGTCTGGTAGCACTTTAAAGATCAACAAAATATGTAGATGGTATCATGAGCTTTCATGGGCACAACCCACGTAGCTCAGAGTGATGCCAAGGCTGATAAACTCCTTTATGTTTTTTCAGGTTCCCTGAATCAGCAATTTCAGTGTTGAAAAGCCAACGCTTGCGAGAGAAGCTTCTACAGTCTCTGTTCCTTGACAAAGTATATTGGGAGAGCCAAGGAGGTCGCCAAGGAATTGAGAAACTGATTGATGTGGTAGAAAGGCGGGCCAAAATTCTTCTGACCTATATAAATGCACATGGAGCCAAAGTATTACCCATGAATGAATAAAAGTCTTTTTATTTCTAACTCTAAAAATTATATAAAACTTTATATAAGGCAATAACTGATGGCAAAATTAGTGTTTCTTTTAAAATTCTTTTAAATTCCAAAACATAACATTAAAATGATAAGCCTGGGCTTTTTTAAAGCCATTTGGAAAAAAATGTTATATAGTATAAAAGTGCTAGTTCTCTAACATTTGAAATTCTTAAATACAGCTAGTTCTGTGTTTTTCTAAGAAAGATGTCTAAGCAGTGTAATAAAGAATGCAATAATTTAATTTTGGATTATTAATCTGCTAACGTTTCTTTTATGCTCTCAGGATATGTCTAGACTGAAGAGCTTTTCCAGCATACCGGAAAAGCTCAGCCATGTCCAAGGAACACATCCACTTTTTTGGAACAGTTTCTGAAAAAGCAGACATGTTCTTTCAGCATCTCTGTATTCCTTTCGGTGAGAGGAATAAGGGATATTCCAAAAGAGGAGTTTTTTTCCAAAATTTGGCAGCGTAGACAGGCCAAATTTCGGAAAAGACTCTTTCAGGAAAAAAAAGCGGAAAAAGATACGCAAAAAGATACGTGTTTCACAATTTGCATATCTTTTTCCTACTTTTCTCGGCAGCGTGGACATAGCCTCAGTTAAAGATAGATATATCTCCACTTGATTCTTTTGCCAGCTGTGTATTAATTAAGAGTGGGATTTTCAAAAACGCTTAGCACTGGCCAACTGCTCTTATCAGAATCAAGGAAGTTTTAGCATTAATTTAATTGGGAGCAGAATTAAGCCAATGTTGAGCACTTTTGATTGGAAGTCCCAAATCTTAATGCATAACCAAACCTCCAATAGAGAATGTTAATTCGGGGAGTTGCATTCTTTCTTTTTGTTCCTTAAGAACACAAAAACTTCTAGTTTCTCCTATGGCTGATATTTGTACTGCATCTGTGACATCCAGGGACCAAATTCAGCTCTTTTGTAAACAGATATGACTTCAATTGAAGGCAATGAAACTGGGCCTTTTTGATGCTTAATACAGGTCAAAGAAAGAATCTAAATTTTGCCTGCGAACAAGAACCCAGGACACTTTGCACTTAAGCTAACTTTAAGGAGTGGAATTTTACTAAGTGGTAACCTTTAGCTTATATTGAAATTGCTGAACCAAATATTTTAGTAACACAATAGTGTGGAAGAGGTATAACAACATTGCTCTAACAAAGGAAATAAATAATGATTAACTACAAGCAGTGTTCTCTCTAAGCTGTGTGGCAGCATAGCTTCACAGGTGATTAATCAGCCCCACTCAGTCAGTCATCTCTGTGCACCCAGCCCTGAGCCTATGACTGGGTGGGGCTGATTAATCACCTGTGAAGCTGTGCTAGTGCACAGCTTAGAGGGAACTGCTGACTATAAGCTGTTGCCCTATTTGGAAAGTTACAAGAGAACAGCAGTTTTAGAAAATAACCTAAGATAAGAAGAATGTGTGAAAGGGAATAAATAGGTAAGGCTGGAATGATAAATAATAGAATAATAAGGGTATAATTACCCTGCGAAATCGAGAGAGAGAGCATTTGAAGATTGAACACAGGTTGTAAGAAAACTACGGGGTAGGTCTTCTGCAGTCTGGGGTGTCTTTAATAACTGTTAAATCAATAAATCCAATCAAACCTGACTTATTAAACTAACATCAGATCCAAAAGAACCCCTCTCACTAAACATACAAACATAGACATATAATCACAATTTAAATTTTTACTGGTAATCAATGAATAATTTATCAATAACCAACTTTCAATAGCTTGTTTATATCCCCACCACAAGGACAAATATTTTCTCACCAATGATTTATTTGGAACGCAACTGCCTTTTTTTGGTCCACAGTTTGTCTAGTTTGGTCTGCAGATTGACAAGTGCCTTTTTTTGAGTGTAATAAATATTCATCATTTTAATTGTTTGGTACTTATGGGTCAAATGGTAGATTTCTGTTTCCTGTTGGACTGAATCCAACTTCAAGAATCAGATTTCCAGTGCAGCTAATGGTGATTATAAATTCCATATCAGCTATCTGTGTGTATTCTGCTATATTAGGGTACATATTTTTACTTCTACAAATGTTCCTGGCAATAAACTCATTTTCTTGAATTCTGACAGAAAGGAAACAAGAAGGAAATTAATATTGTAAAATTTAAACTGAAAATGTTGTTTTCAATATTCTCTCAACTTCAAATGCAGTCTCTTGTGTTCCATTAAGAATGTCCACTATTCTTCAAGAAGATATTTTGCTGTTAGATGTGATGAATCATGAAGTAACAACGAAGCATATCCTCAACAGGTTTAAACTGTAGCTGTGACTTCAAAAAGTTATGACAACCCACACTAGTTGAAATCTGTCAGAAGTATTTCTGAATAGAGGGGTATTGGGCAAGTGACAAACTCTCCACCGTTCATTATGAAAAAGACTTTTCCTAGGTCTTAATGTGCTTCCAGATATAATAAAACATAAATCATTATTGAATACCATGACAATATAGCTGTTTGTGGTACTCACTAGACATTCAAGAAAGTTTTTTTCCCCTTTGAACATGTAAGAAGGTTAGTAGGGCATGTTACACGTGTCTATATGTTCTCATCTCTGATCATGTATGCACAACAGTATTTTTCCAATGTGAGAAATTTAAAAAATGTTGTATAAGGGTTTTAATAAAAAGTTTTAAATGAGTTGAATCCCATCACTTACAGTGGATGCTGCTCTCACTTAACACAAATCAGAAGGAATATCTGTGGAGGTCTCCTGCCAGATGTTGTTATATTTCAATTTTACATTAACTTATGGTCTGGCTAAGGCAAAGCCTAGAGAAAAGTAGTTAACAAAGAGGAGAAAGAAATGGAATGCAGAGAGAGCATTTTGATATTCTTTTATTTTAAATGGATTCATAGGTGCTTGAATATGGGGTTCTGGGGTGCTGCTGTATCCAGGGGTGCTGGAATGATATTTATAGTGGGGAGTGCTGTGAGCCATGGAACCAAACTGTTAACCCTGCATATGATGGAAACCACTTGAAGCCAGCAGGTCATGTATCAGTATATCTAGTACCATACCAACTGGCTTCAAGTAGTTTCCATCGTATACAGGGTTTACAGTTTGGTTCCATGGCTCACAGCACCCCCACTATACCTATTATTCCAGCTCCCCAAAATCAATTAATCATATTTTTGTGTAGAGTTCTCTTTTTCCCTGGATGCCATACAATGCTGTGTGTGAGTTTTACACATTTTGTGTATTTAGCCAAAGATAGTGCCAATACCTTAAGCAGCCACCACAGGGTGTAAGGTCTCTCTGAGGCTTATGACAAAGCCAGTATTAACTTTTCCTTACTGGGTGAAGGAGGCTAAAGTGTTAGTAGAACCATGGCTAGCCACTTAGGGCTAGACATTACTCTTTCCAGAAGTGATCAGCAGCACTGTCTGAGATGCAGGGATTAAAGTACAGTGTCTGCTTCAGCAACAACTCTTTCTGGTATTTGTGGAGGGCTCTGCACCTACACCTCCATTGTCCCCCAATATCATGGTGCCTTAATATTTCTATATATAGTCCTTAAGCACCTTATCTTGCACCCCATGTGGAAGGGCATACCACTCACAAATGCTCCCATTGACTTTAAGGAGTACTGATAGGAGAATAGGACACAAGATCACGGGTTGACTTATTAGTCATGGTGATAATAAATACAAATCCCAGGAAGCAACTCTCACTTTTGGCATTATTGTTATATTATTGGTTAATGTTGTGTGGAATATAGTATTGTTAATAAACCAAAGAATAATGACTGATCTAGGGAGTATAATTACTGAATAGCTGAAGTAAGGATAACTGAGTTTTTAATTCATAAAAGGTGAAGGATTTCTTAGTAAAAGAATCCTGTACATTTCAAGTGTGTGTACATAACTGCTTATGCAGAAATAAACATTCTGCATAGTTTATATGCTACTAATATGTTCAAACAGAAGAGATCTCTCACCTCAACAGCTGGGATAAAGCTTAATATTAATTTACTTTATTTTAAAAATTACAACCTAAGGATGAAATGGCACTCCTGTCTGAAAGCCAGAATAAAATGAATCCGTTAAAAATAAGTTTTGCTGTGCCACTGTTAGGCATGCAGTCAGCAAGGAAATTGTGGGCACTTGCTTCATTCATTCACTCATACATCATCTGTGCTAGGCTACCTTCCATTTATGGACATATGGGACCAGACATAGCTTCATGTTCCATATTAGTTAGAGGGGTGTAGCTAGTGGTAGGAATCCAAGATCTGTGGGTGGGGAAAGGAGAATGTGTCATTCTTGAATCTGTCTGAAAGCCAGAACCACATAAATTGGAATTGTAAAAAAGTAAGGAGACTTGAACAGCAGATTAAATAGCATTGAAAGATATAGTACAAAGCAAGTGTTTTGTGAATACAAATCTCAATTGGTGTACTCATGTGGGGGCTGACAAATTGAAAGTTTCCTCCAAAAAGCACAGTATCTCCCTCTGATAATACTTTTGTTTAAGAAATCTTTTAGCTATTAAATGCAGAAAAATGGCAAAATGCTTGTTGTCTGAGTGTAAATTATCTATCAGTAGAATATTATTTCTGAGATATTTTCTTAGCACTATAAAACGGTCTATTTAGTGTTACATCCCACAGTCTCTCTCTCTTCTCTTTGACTTTGAATATTTTAAAAATGCCATTGTAGTGTCCTTTTCAATTAACCCTAAAACAGTGTCATAAGCAATGAATAATTTAGGCAATTATTTCTAGAAAGAGAGAGAGAGTGTGTTCTTGTCTGAGTTTTGAACCAAAAAGAATAAAATGAGTATGTTCACTGGGTTTTTAATTGAGATCCTTGTCATTTGCAGTAGTACTAAGATCTGAAGTAATAACAACTCTTACTGTACAGATGGTATGGCATTTTAAAAGAGCTGCAGGGTTGAAGCTACTTCTTTCAAGGAACTATCCAGATCTGAAGCTTTTCCCGTGGAAACATTTTCTAGCCATTTACTCATGAGCCTTATAACCCTTTCTTACTAAATGTGGTTGACTAGCAATGAAGCATGTGAGTACTGTGGTGTTACCGTAGCCTAGTCTTACTCAAGCATATATATTTAAATAAAAATACTTTTTAAATTTGAAAAGAAAAAACCCATATCCATTTGTGGTGATGTTCTGGTATCAGAAAGGGATGACTTATAGTGGTAAAATTTGTAACAGAATGAACAGGCTTTAGAACAGAAAGCTGACATTCCTGTCTCATAAACTATACAGATTACTTTTTTTGTGGGGAGGGAAGAATGCATAATAATCTTAGTGCTTCCTATTGCATTTTTGGGCTCCTGAAGAAATGCACACTCCAGAGACCTTAAGAATAAAAAAATCTTGGGCTACTTTATCCTCTTAGCTGTTATAATTCATACTTTTGTATTTGCCACCCCATGCTCTGAGTGTCTTGAAAACTTTGATTGCCAGATGCTCGGACTGGATACAGGGTGGATAACTGGATAATTGCCCCATTCTGTTTATTCCCTCTGAAGCACCTGGCCACTGTCAGAAAACAGGATTCTGGGCTAGAAAGACTATTGGTTAGTCCCAGCATGGTCATTTAGGTGTTCTTAAATTCTCAAGATTAATTATAATTTTGTATTTGATTGTCTTAACATTTTTCTATATTTTAGGTCAAATTCTCCTCTTACAGAGCTATAAATACACAGTAACACTGCTAAATTAATTACATTGTGAATAAAGCAAGGTTATAACTGAATGGGGTTACTTCAGATTTATAGTGGTATACTCAAGAGCAGGGGGACAATTGTGACCCTAATTCCGTGCACGGAGGGCAACCTCTACTTGCTGATATCAAATTGCTAATACAGATGGGTCTTGTCAATTGCTTCCACAACACCATCCCATCCCTTCCCATGACACATTGATGGCTTACTCTTATGGGCAAAGGGATAGACGAGAAATAGGGTTGGGTGGGGGCAGGGATGGGGAACACAAATCATGTCATCTGGCACTGCAGAGATTAGGATGAAAAGGTGATATACCCCTGACACCCCCAGGGATCCTTCCATGATCAGGAACCTGTTTTAAAGGACTAGGACCAGAGAAGTCCTGGCAGCATGACTCCAATGGACTGTGCAGGGGAGCTGCTGGGATGCTGAAGCGGAGTACAGGGCCTCCTGTCAGGAGACACTCAACTCCTACTAATACTCCTGGGTGTTGCAAGGTCTCCTGGGAATTGCAAGTTTCTGGAGCAAGCTGCAGAGTCAGTTCTACCACCAAACCTCATAAAAGAATGAGGTTGATCCAGCTCAGAATTTGGACATTTGAGATCAGTAATTTAAATTGACTAAATAATGGGTTGGCATCTGCAAAGTACTTCCTATACATTTTGAGGATATTTTTGAAACAAGATGTGATTGATCACATACCAATCATATCTTCACTGAAAATCTCAATGAAATTTTGTACAATAAAAATGTAGATATTCTCTTCCTTCCTAAAGTATAGCATAGCTCAATGGTGTGGGTCTCTCAGAATGATAAAAATAGGGTCTTAAGTCCTCCTAGTGATTTTTCCGTAGAGCTTAGCACATCCTTCTCTTCCTTGGTGATTGCTCTATGTAATACTAATAGGTATAGACACCTTATGTGAACACTGGTAGTTTAATGCACAGAGAATGGTCAGCTGGGAGCAATTTGATCTGAAGATCTTTCAAGAGATAAGATCATGTTCACTGGATCCAGATCCTTATGACGTGCAAGTCTGGTAACTGCTTGTGGTAGCAAGTTGATTTATGCCAGCTCAGGGCTTGGCACAAAATACAGTCCTGAAAAAGAAAGAAGATAGACTGTGTGATGTCCTGGAATGGATAAGAGATGGCAAAAAAAAACAAAACAAAACAAAAAAAACCCTACTAATGTATGGCAGTCTGCCAAAGGATGAGAAATGACTGTAATTAAATGGATACAAAACATAAAAACCTTCTTTCATTATGAAGTCCTATTCTTGGCAGACGTGAGATTGCACTGAATTTAACGTTTATATCAATATAGTCTGTTGAACTAAAACTGAGCTTGAAATAGGTGAATTTAACTTTCTCTAGAAACTGTTTGTCTCAGATTATCAGGACCTTTTCCTGGTTAGCCCTTGTACTGTACTTGTCATTTAATGATCTAAGATTGGCATGGCATCCTTTGCTAAGGAATGTTATCTGTGCTTCCTTGCATGAAAACATTAGCTTGGCAGTCGCTGGAGGGCTGCTAAGCAGTATTAGCATGCTTTATCAGTGATATTCTTCAGCTAGCCATGTGAAACACTTCAAGATTTGGATGGAATTTATTCACAAACTGTTACAGATAATGGTACCAATGTGAGAGACAATTTTATGAAGTGTGAGAACTACGTCTGACAGATGGTAAAAACTGGTGCTTTGATAACCTTTTTTGGTTTGGGAATTTCAAAAAACAGATTATTCTTCTTAATTCCCTGCAATACATGACATACCAGAGATAAAAATGGACCATATTTCCTGCCTCCAGTCTCTCCAGAAAAGGAAATGCACGCTCATATTGCTAAAAATATTAGAGAGCTAAATGACGCTAGCAAGGTAGCTGTGGTGCAATTGTCGTAAACTTCAACAGGAAACTGCACATACCCAAACAGCAGCTATTTTTTATT